TCTCTACGGCTGTGAAAGTCCTAGGTGGTATTGTCTTCCAATAGAAGGCTGTTTTGTCTATAAGGAAGATCCTTGTTTAGTGTAGCCACCATTATTAATTATCTTATTCAGACCTTCTAGGTAACTTGTTACAGCATCTACATCAGCATTTGCAGCTTCACTTTACATTCTTATGGTATGAAGATGGCTTCTTTACATAAACCTTATGAACCAACTTCTGCTAACTTCAAACTTTTCTTATGCAGCTTTCTTACCTCGCTCAGTCTTCACAGAACTGGAGAGGGCCTTGCTCTGAATTAGGCTTTGGCTAAAGGAAATGTGATGGCTGGCTTTGTCATCTATCCAGACCACTAAAACTTTCTCCATATCAACCATAAGGCAGTTTCACCTTCCTATCATTCATGTGCTCACTAGAGTAGCGCTTTTAATTTCCTTCAGTAACTTTTCCTTTACATTTACAACTTAGCTAACTGGTACAAGAGGCTAAGCTTTTGACATGTCTTCCTCACTGAGTTTAATCATTTCTAGCTTTTGATTTCACTTGAACTCTTTCAACTCTTCGTTACATTTGAACACTTAAGAGACTACTGTAGGGCAATTAATTGGCTTAATTTCAATACTGTTGTATCTCAGGGAATTGGGAGGCTCAAGAAAAGGGAGAGTACTGGAGAAGAGCTGGTCAGGGAGCAGTGAGATACACACACTTATCAATTAAGTTTGCAGACTTATGTAAGTACACTCTGTGTCACCTCAAAACAATCAGAATTGATCACCATAAAAAATATGATAATGAAAAAGTATGAAATACTGTGAGAATTACCAAACTCTGACACAAAAACACAAAGTGAGCAAATGCTGTTAGAAAAATGGCGCCGAAAAGACTTGCTAGATGCAGGATTGCCACAAATTTTCAATTTGAAAAAAAAAAAAAATGCAGTAAAGCCAAGTACAAGAAAATGAGGTATATTTGCATCCAGAACAGGAAAATCATCCATAGAAACAGAAAGCAGACTGGTGGTTACCAGGAGGGAGAGTGGATGAGGAACTGATTAATGAGCACAGGTTCCTTTTTGGGTGGTAAAAATGTTTTGAAATTGAGTTTCCCTAGGGCATACTTCTGCTTTATTGACTATGCCAAAGCCTTTGACTGTGTGGATCACAATAAACTGTGGAAAATTCTGAAAGAGATGGGAATACCAGACCACCTGACCTGCCTCTTGAGAAACCNGCAATGAGATCCAACCAGTCCATCCTAAAGATCAGTCCTGGGTGTTCACTGGAAGGACTGATGCTGAAGCTGAAACTCCAATACTTTGGCCACCTCATGAGAAGAGTTGACTCATTGGAAAAGACCCTGATGCTGGGAGGGATTGGGGGCAGGAGGAGAAGGGGATGACAGAGGATGAGATGGCTGGATGGCATCACCAACTTGATGGACATGAGTCTGAGTGAACTCCGGGAGTTGGTGATGGACAGAGAGGCCTGGCGTGCTGCGATTCATGGGTTCGCAAAGAGTTGGACACAACTGAGTGACTGAACTGAACTGAGGGCATAATTCTTCATAAGCATAAATAAATATCAAAGAAAAAGTTCAATATCTTTTAAATTGAACACTAACACAACAAAACTATTAGTGTAAAATGCTGACAAGGAGAACATGTGCATTTAAGGATTCTGACTTAATGAAATTCACTATTCATCATGGGCTAGTTCTCTGAGATGAAGCAGCGGTGTGGGTTTTTTGACTCCTTACCTCTCGATGCAATAGATTTAACAATTATTAGAATAAATGGATTTCACTAGGTTCAGAAGGCCAGCTTTGAGATAAGCAGAAATTTTTATTGTGGTAAAACACACACAATGTAAAATTTGCCATTTTAACCATTTTTAAGAGTGCAGTTCGGCAGCATAAAGTACATTCACACTGTTTTACAGCCACTGCCACCATCCATCTCCAGAACCTTTTCACCTTTCCAAAAGGAAACTCTGTGAGCAATAAACAATAACTTCCCATCCCCCCACTTCTGCCCTAGGCAACTACCACTTTCTGTGTCTAAGAGCTCGACTTCTCTAGGACCTCATATAAGGGAAATTATACAACATTCATTCTTTTGTGTCTGGTTTATTGCACTTGCCATAATATCTTCAAGGTTCATCCATGTTGTAGCATATGTCAAAATGTCCTTCTTAAGAACTTTACTTATCTATGGCTGCAGTTGGTCTTCATTGCTTTCAGTGGGCTTTCTCTAGTTGTGGCAAGTGGGGGCTACTCTCTACTTGCGGTGCTTCTCTCTTATTGCAGACTATGGGTTCTAGGGCTGCATTCTAAAGGAACATCTAGATGCCCTTACTACCAAGAATGGCACTGAGCAAGACAGTTTAACATGAACATGATTTCACTACACACAAATTAGGTAACCAATGACCCCTCACTCATAAAAGGGGTTCTGTGTTTACGAATGACTCTACATAGCAGTTATATGCATCAGAGAAAAACGGAAACACTAGAGTCAAGATCAAATTAACATTTGTGATTAGGCCCCTTTTAGCTCATAGATTCAAGCCAAATAGCCCTCACAAGTCTACAGTTAAAAGGTGTAGAGAAAACAAAGGTCACTGTGAACATATCACTTATAAAACTAGTTCCCATTCAAACAATGTGCTTTCATTTCCTCTTGCAGCAAACAAGGATAACAGGATTACTCGTATCATTGTTATGAGTAATAAAGTGAAATGACACTGATAAAGCTTAAAAATTGCTTAGCACTTGGTAATAAGCAATTCACATAAGTGTTCCCATCATTATTATATTCCCCATAGATACCAGCAATTATCTACAATCATCCTAGAGACTTGTCGATCTCTCCACTCATATAGATGTTTTCAAGATAGATGTAATCAAACAATGCAATGTTAATCAACTATAAAATGAAAATAACATATCTCACAAAGATACAGAATTTCATTATGTTAATGAAAACACTATTTTTTAAAAAGACCGTAAGACACAAAATAGCAACTGAAGTAGGGAGAACTAAGCGTGATAAAGATTGGGAATATCCAAACATATATTTTAATACCAGCATCTCCAATTTCATTTACCAATAAATTTCCCCAGGAATCCTGTGATGGCACACACCATGAGCATTTACTTCCCCCAGCTTTATCTACTAACAATACACATTCTTCTCCACCCAGAAAATTTCTACTCACTGTCCTCAGAATCTCAGTTCACATGTTACTTCCTGTAATCTTTCCCATACTCCCCAGAACCGTCTCTCCTTTCATGGCCCCACAGCACTGAACTGACCGACTGTCCTCAGTACTCAGACTGTACTACATTAAGTTCCATAAGTATGTCTTCCCTGCTAGACTCTTAAGTTCTTTGAAAGCATGGGCTATGTTTTCAGTGCCCAGCACAGTGCATGACATAAAAGGCACACAAGATGCATGATAAATTGAACTGAATCCTAGATTTTAGAATTGGGAAGGGCCAAAAAGAGAACATTTGTTTTCAGATGCAAAAAGGAGACTCAAGAATGAGTGACTTGCCCAAGTCACAGAGACAGTGGCTGTAACAAGACTACTACTCAAGTTTTCTTTCCCAGTAAAATTCACGAGGATAGGACAGTGTGTCTCATTCACTATTTCAAACTGGTTCCTCAAGCACAGAACAGGGATATATAAGAGATCCTCAAGTAGGTGCTTTTTTATTACAAACACTATAAATGTCAATCCATAAATGTAGAGAAACAGACAAATGCTAGTTTAATTTTTGCACCATTCTTATATCAATTCCCAACTAAGAATTCAGAGAAATAAGCAAAATCACCTCGTACAGCATCATATTATATGAAAGCAATATATGTCAAACATTCTGCTTTTTTGGCATTAGCGCATTTAAAGTGAAGGCAGTTTCCAGGCTTACAGGTTTTGAGAAGCTTGACTACACAAACTGAATAGTTTGATAACTAAAACTGACATACTGTACACCAACATGCTAAAACATTATACAGTACAGACTATGTCAAACGCTAATAAAATGCAAGTGACAACTTGCCTTTGTGGAAATTAGACACAAGGAGTCACATTTTGAGGAAGTTCAAGTTCACGAGCCAACAGCTACACCACGATTTGCTGCCAGCATGGGGAGGCGCTGAGGAGAATGCCTACTTCCAGTGAGTAAAAGATTTGGATTTCATCAATGGGGAAGGCAGTAAGAGAGCCAGGGCGCCCAGTGAACAAATGTTAAAGGAAACAAGCAGTCTCTTTCTTGTCTCTCAGAATTAATGGATATCAGATAGTAGGAGTCCTCCCACGAAATTCACCTAAGCCAGTCCCTAGAATTCTCTGACACACACTGCAATCTAAGAGGCCCATGAGGCTAAAAAAGGCCTGGGCACTATTAAGGACTCTCCAGAAGGTATTTCTTGCACAAGAAAGGGACACGAAAGCACTACCAGGCACAAAGGTGGAACCGTCAGCAAGGCAGCAGCCTTTGGGCGGGTCCCAACGCCACCTCTGAGCCTCAGGCCCTCCGTACGCCCCCGTTCCAGCCAGACGCCCAGACCCAGCACTAGAGATCCCCTCAAGGAGGGGCGGTGGCCAACTCACTCAGAGGGGTCGCAGGCCCTTACTTACTCTCAGAGGTACCGAGCGAATACACCCCCTCAAACAGCAACGGCCATGGCCAGGCGCCGCCGCCCACCCGATCCTGGATCGGCCCGCCTGCGGCCTTCCCCGGCCTGTCCCCCAACCCGTAGGCCAAGCCTGGCTGGTATTAGCTGCGACCTGGCTGCTGGGCCCCGACTCCGCCTGCACGGTTCCAAAGCGGTGGGAGTGAGCAGTGGCTGGGAAAAGGGTCAGCCCCGGGCCCGCCGCCCCTCAGCACTCACCATGGCGACTCCCCTAAGCCTGCAGCGAGCAGCACCCACCCCGCGCGGAGCCTCCCGCGGTCAGGTGACTCTGCGGCCCCTCCAAGCCCCGCCCCCTCTGGCTCCGCCTTCGGACCCAGCAGAGGGCTCCTCGATTGGTCCCCCAACTCCCGTTATTTATTGGTCCCTGTCACTTCACGGTGGACTGACGGACCTAGGCGCCAGCCAATCTCTCCGCAGTGTGTGAGAGGGCGGGGCAGTGCGGAGTAGCGGGGAAACTCTCGGCGGCAGGAAGGGGCCGCCGGAGGGAAAGGCAGCGTTCGAGTCTCTCTAGAAGGGAGGAATGGAATGAGTGGGAGCCATCCCAGAGCATTCACTTTTGGCCTTGACGTGTGTACTCGCAGCGCGCACGCGCAGAAGGATGGCCAGGATTGGTTTGCGGGGCAGTGTAACTTCTAGTCCCAACCAATCCAGATGCTGCTAGGGGGAAGGGGCCCAGCCTTAACTGGTGAGCGTAGCATCTGCGCGCGGGTTTCGTCGGGTCTCAGCTGTGGCTGTCTTCCTCGTCCGCACCATGGAGTCTGGTCTGATCAGGCGTTTAGCCCCGCGCCTGGGCATCGTCGAGCCGGAGGTGCTGAGGTGAGTCGGGCTGCGCACGCCCCAGTAGCCCTGCGCCCTCCTCAAATGAGGCCCATACTTTTCCCGCGCAACGGCAGGATTTAGGCTCTACATCAAGAAACTCCTCCCGGCTGTGGACTCTCTGAGCTGGCCGGAGGGGCGAGCGGCCCCTGGGACCAGCTAGCACTGTGAGATGCACGGTGGTGGGAAAGGGAGACGGAGAACGTGGGTCGTTTCCCTGAAACTTACTGAGAGTGCGTTTACGGCAGAGGTAGACGGGATACAGACCCCAAGGAGTGCAGTGTCTGGTGGCAGCTACATGCAGGAAACGAAATAGGATGGGTGTGCGGAGCCGCCGCGGGTGGGGCGGAGCGCGGCCTGTGCCTGCTTTTAATTTAAACAAACAAAAAAGACTTTCCAGAAAGCCTCGGAGGGGTTGCCGTTTGTTCTGAGACTCGAAGCTACCAGCCACGGGAAGATGTGGGAAGAGGGCCCAAGCTGGCACAGCAAACTGTACAAAAGCCCGGAGATGGGAAGGGCCTTTGCAAGATCCAGGGTTAGAAATAAAGTATTTCTAAATACTTTAAACTGTGAAGGGCAGGACTTAACTCTGGAGGGCAGGGCTAGGACGGATGCCTGGGCTGTGGATTAGTTGAGGGAAGGGAAGGAGCACTTCTTAAAAGACAGGAAGTATGGCCTTCTGCATTCTTAATCGTTTAGAATAGTGGTTCTCGAAGTGTAGTCCCTGGACCAGCAGCATCAATATTTTCTGCCACTTGGTAGAAATGCACATTCTTGGGCCCTACTCTAGGCCTACTGATCAAAAACTTGGGGCTTGTTTTCACATGCTCCAAGGTGACTGTCATGTACAGTAAAGTTTGAGAACCACTGATTTAGGGGAAGGAGGAACCCTGGTCTCACCTGCCTGCTTCTTATCTTAGTTCATGCTTGGTCCAGTAATGGAAGGCTGAAAGAAGGGTTGGCCTTTTTTGGAGGATTTCAAGAACTTAATTCTTCCTGAAAGGATTGGAGCACAGTGATGTTTGGAGTCAGAGGGTTTGTTCTGTCTTGTAGAACCCTGTCCTTCCCCAAAGGGTGTGAGTTTCATTCCCAGCCCCAAATAAACGTGCACAAGAGTTAGGGTCAGAATGAAGTCCACCAGGCTGAATTTATTGCTTACCAAAGTATTGGGCAAACTTCTGAAAAAGAAGGAGTTTTAGTGAATGTGTTGCTCAGGAAAGCAGAGGAGTACTTGCGACTGTCCCATGTGAAGTGTGTTGGCCTGTCTGCACGAACCACAGAAACCAGCAATGCAGTCATGTGTCTGGACCTTGCAGCTTCCTGCATGAAGTGCCCTTTGGACAGGGTAAGTAGGTCCCACTGAATGTCTGAATAATCTGGTGTGGCACTGAAGTTTAATCATATGTTTTCATTTCTGGTTGTACTAGCCCCTGTCACAACTCTGTTTTAGAATTTTTATCTAGAATATGTTGTTCTAGATGAAGTTTAGAACCATTTTGTCAAGTTGGAGAAAAAAACTTTTTTGCAACGATCTCTTTTCTCTTTACTACATACTTTCCCTGAGCACTTCTTTCCTTATACAAAGCCATCTATCAAACTGCCACTAGCATCATCCTCCTAAATCACATACTTTAAAACAATCGTATTATTTTTCTTCCAATGTCACAGTGGTTGAGAGCCAAGCTATGGCAAGACTCACATGTTGAGACCAGATCTCAGCACTGCCAGTTACTAGTTCTGTGAGTCTCTTGTGTCCTCATCTATCTAGTAGGATAAGAGGTATCCATTTCACTGGATAATTGTAAGGAAGAAACACAATATACTATATATATATAGTCGGTATATATATATACACACAATATACAATATATATGTAGCACTCTTAACACAGTGCCTGTCACGTAATGCTACAGTGATAAAATGGTGGCATGGTAAACACCATTGGCTTCCAATGGGTTGGCTCCCCATTACCATCAAATTCTCCAGCATCTCTTGAACCCTGTTAACCTCAAGCTACACTGTTCGCTTGACAGACCATGCACCTTAGTGGCTGACTTTTACATGCACTGCCTTTATTTTTTAAACCCAGGATGCTCTTCTAGCAAGCTTCTGTTTGTCTTAAAATGACCCCACTTTGCTGTTACATCCTTTATTAAGCTTTTCTTCCCCAGGCAGAGTTGGTGTCCCTCAGTTGTTATCCCTCCTGTTTCTCTCCCAGTTTCTGTCTCCTGTCCCTTTCGCACACACTTACCCTCCCCACACCACTCCCACTACTTCCGTCCTTCGTTTTTCCAGTGGATTACAAATTGGCACCTTTGTTAAAACAAGTAACTTTATATATGTCTTCTGTGTTTTTTAATTTGTGGGCTTCACATGTGGCACTACTGGTAAAGAATCCACCTGCCCATGTAGGACACACAAGAGACATGGGTTCTCTCCCTGGGTTGGGAAGATTCCCTGGAGTAGGAAATGGCACCCCAGTCCAGTATTCTTGCCTGGAAAATTACATAGGCAGAGGAACCTGGCAGTCCATGGACCTGGTTACAGTTCATGGGGCCTCAAAGAGTCAGACACAACTGAGCATGCACACATGCGCGTGTGCATACACACACACATTTTTTAGCTCACAGCTTGGTATTGGTAGCACTATGTTGTATTTTAAATCATCTGCACACACGTGTGACATGACTGCGTTTCTACAGGTAGCTTCTATAGTGAGCTTATTGTGAGTATTACTTAACTTGCCTGACATGGTTACTGATTTTTGAGTAAATGAAGCTAAACCTTTAGGTAGTGTGACTTACCAAAGAAATAATTAATTTTGAAAAGTTAACTTATTAAACAAGTGTTAAAGGTACTAATATAGAGCACTTATGATTTTTATGATTCATTTCTTTTTCCTTTCAAAGGCTTACTTGATTAAACTTTCTGGCTTGAACAAGAAGATGTATCAGAGTTGTCTTAAATCTTTTGAGTGTTTATTGGGCCTGAACTCAAATATTGGAATAAGAGACCTAGCAGTACAGTTTAGCTGTACAGAAGCAGTGAACTTGGCTTCAAAGATACTGCAAAGGTATGAGGCATATAATTAAAACTCAATACTGATACGTAAAATGGAAGTATCCATTTAAAATAGCATTTAGTTATGATTTTCCAGTCACATTTTTAAAGTATTGATTACAACTCTTTTTCAAGTAATTTATAAAACATTTCAATAATAAATTCTTAATTTGAATCTTTGGGGTTATCTATATGTATACTGACTAAAATTTTACCCTGGAAATATTGGTAATTGCTATCTTCATCTAAAGTTGTCTTGTTTTATCTTGCTGGAAAACTCCTCAGAAAACAAAATTAGTTGGCTGTTAGGAAATAGGTTTTTTACTACCTAACCACTAATTTTGATGTGTTTGGCTCCATTAGCTACTATTAGTGATTAATTGGCCTTAATAGAAAATGCCTTTTAATTCAATAAAAGTATATGGAGGGAATATGATTATTATAGAAAACAGTATGGACAACCTTACTTTTGAAACCAAGTTTCACTGAGCAAAAAAAGATTCAAATAGGTCTGTTACCTGAATTAAGACGCTTTCTTTGTTATTTTTCATTAGTGGTTCTTGTGAATTATTATTAGGGAGGGAGTTTTTGGAGTTGAGAGTGGTTTATATTCTTGTAGTAGTATAAATATAAGCATCCTGAGTTAAAGTGAATTAAATATTTTAACATGCTGTAATTGACATTCAGCAAATTAGTTAATATCTGAGATTTACTAGAAAGAGTTCTATAAGGCATGAAGCACTACAGTAGATGTCTTTCATGTGTCCTGTTTGTTATATAACAGATAACGTGTATATTACAATTCTTGCAGTACAATAAATAACTAAATAAACAGTTTTAAAAGGTAAGTTTGCATGGTTTTTAGCTAATGATATGTGTGTGAAGTAAAGGGAAAATTAAACAGTTGGGAGCTCTTCATAAAGCCTGAGTGGAAAGGAAATAAGTTGATAACTGTTTGGCCAAAGAAGATAATACTACTGATCTTAAGAACTGCAGTTTATCAAATTCTTTTGTAGGATTCTAAAGCTAAAGGTGGACAGAAATAAAATGGCAGCCACATCTGGAGTTAAAAAGGCCATATTTGATCGACTCTATAAACAATTAGAAAAGATTGGGCAGCAGATTGACAGTGAGTAATTCATTCCATGTTTCTAGAATGTGTCACTTGAAAATGTAAACCTGATGGTAAAAGTTAAATATTTTCAAACTTGCAAACTAGCTGCTTTCTGAATTATATATTTACTATAGATGAGATCAATTTTTAGTAAGAAAATTACTCTTTATTTTCAGTAACAAAATTAGTTTGTTTTCAAATAAATAGCTTAATAACTAAAAACAACCATTAAAAAAATGCTGTAATTCTGTAAATTCATGCCTAGAGAACAGATTCTCCCTTTTGAAGTCTGGCAAGAAAAGCCAAAGAAAAGAGAAAGCAAAATAATTTTCCTTCTCCTTATCCTAGTACTTGGTCATTCGAGATACCTAATTTTTATTTGTGATCCAAAATACACCCCAAAACTGAAATTAAAAATAAGAGAAAAATGAACTCAGATGATATATATATATATGTATGTGTGTGTGTGTGTGTGTGTGTGTGTATATATATATATATATGTATATATATCCCCCCCCCCTTAAAGGAGAACCTGGAGATTCAGCTACTCCACCACAGAAGAAAAAGAAGACAGTGACTGAACCTTCAGCAAAGGGTGAGGCATGTTAATACTACATGAAGATTGAATTTGGTACAATAGGATTAGTGTACAGTGGATTTAATGCAGTGAACGGCCCTTTGCTGCTTTAGTAGCTTGCCTTAACAAGAGTCAGGTTTTACATTTGCAGCAACATGGATGGACCTAGAAATTATCATACTAAACAAAATAAGTCAGAGAAAGACAAATACCAGTGATAACACTTCTAGATGGAGTCAAAAATATGACACAAACGAACTTATTTATGGAACAGACAGACTCACAGACACAGAGAACAGACTTGTGGTTGCCAAGGGGACAGGGGTGCAGGAGATGGTTGGATTGGGAGTTTGTGACTATCAGATGCAAACTATATATAACGGATGGGTAAACAACAAGGTCCTACTGTATAGCAGGTGCAGCACGGAACTATATTCAGTGTCCTGTGATAAACCATAATGGAAAAGAATATAAAAAAGTAGATATATGTATGTGTGTGTGTGTGTGTAACTGAATCACTTTGTTTTACACCAGAAACTGTCACAACATTATAAATCAACCATACTTCATTTAAAAACAAAAAGAGTCAGATTTTAGCTAAATCCTGTCAGTTAATCATTGATAATACCAGTTTTCCAAGCAGTAGTTTACACAAGTACTGTGTAATTAAGAATATATCTGATGGCCAATAAACACGTGAAAAGATGCTCAACATCACTAATTATTAGAAGAAAGAAAGTGTTAGTGGCTCAGTTGTGTCCAACTCTGTTTGACCCCATGGACTATAGCCCACCAGGCTCCTCTGTCCATGGGATTCTCCAGGCAAGAATACTGGAATGAGTTGCCATTTCCTCCTCCAGGGGATCTTCCCAACCCAGGGATCGAAGCTGGGTCTCTCACATTGTAGGCAGATTCTTTTCCATCTGAGCTACCAGGGAAGCCGTGATCTAGATGAGTCTGATAAAAGTCTATTGGATTCTGCTTTGGCAGAAAGAAGGAAGGTATCTGGTGATATGGGGGGAAAAACAAACAAGGGGAGAGGATGACACCTGTCCTTCTACCTAACACATGGACTGTAATGAGGGGAGACTCAGAAAGAAGCTAAAGCGCATCTTTCACGAGGAGCTCTGGGGTTCAGGGCACAAACTGATGTAGCCATTAAGTAGTCATTCCTCATTCTGCTTCCCCCAACCAATCTCTGGCAACCACCCGCCNGGGAGGGAGGCTAGGAAAGGAGGGAATGTATGTATAATTATGACTGATTTGCATTGTTTTATGGCAGAAATCAATACAACACTGTAAAAATTCTTTTCTTAATACTTAAATTTTTAAAAATAGAAGAAAAAGAATACATCTGAAGACAAACTGTTAAGGTTCAAATCCTGCTTTATCACCTACTGGCTGTGCAGTTTTAGGAAAGTGACAATTTCTGTGAACCTCAATTTCCTAATCTATAAAATGTGATTAATGTTAGCATCCATTTCATAGAATTGTGGTGAAGACTGAATGAGATAATACAATTAAAGTGCTTGGTTCAAGGTTTGATAAATGTTAACTATCGTCAAGAAGTCTTGAAATGCTTGGAGTATAAGGGAGAGTGAAAAACCGATGTGTTAACTTCTGTTTCCACTTTTCATTCTGGTATCTTATTCCCTGTTACCTTAATTAAGATAGACATTTTAAAGTAAATAAGCTTAATTCTTTCTTACTTATTTATAACATAAGGATTTTGAAACATTAAAAAAATGTTTTTTCTCTCGTAGAAATAGAAAATGCAGTAGAGACCCTACATAAACCGCAAAAAGATGAAGATCTGACACAAGATTATGAAGAATGGAAAAGGAAAATTTTGGAAAATGCTGCTAGAGCTCAAAAGTCTGCAACACAGTGATTTCAGCTTCCAGACTAACTTGTACTGCAAACCAGCAGTGCATCTGCCACCTCAAGGAAAATGTGAGGTCTCTGGAAATTTGTTTAAACTTTTAAAACAAAGATCCTATTCTTAATGGCAAAGAAGCCAGCCTTGGGGCTGAGCAGGATGGCTGTGATATGGGCGGCAAATTCATTAGTGCCTGGTTGACTCAGCCTTGGCTCCCCACAGGTCTGCACTCTGCAAAATGTAATTGAAGCCATTTTGCTTTTTTGTTTTGTTTTAAGCAAAAGACAGTCTCCTGCCCTATCCATAATATGAATTTCAGGCTGAATGGAGTCTGAGGATTTTACTTAAGTTTTTGTGTAAATCTCTTGGTTTGAATAAATACATATATGGTACAATCTTAAGTTAATAAATATTATTTTTATATGCATTAAAAGTGTACTTGTTATCAGTTTGGGAGAATTCTTGTGAGGCCAAAAGCTGTCTTCTCTGACGGGAAAAAAGACCCAGGTTGCTGAACTGAACCATACTGCTCCCCAGAGTACAAACTCTTGAATTAGGCTTTCTGGGTTTAAAACCCTGCTCAGCTCTTAGCACCTGTGAAACCTTGAACAAGTTAATTAGCTTCTTTATCCTTCATCTGGTTATCCCTATAGCCCAGAGATTAAAGAATCTGCCTGCAATGCAGGTTCGATCCCTGGGTCAGGAAGATCCCCTGGAGAAGGAAATGGTAATCCACTCCAGTATTCTTGCCTGGAGAATTCCACGGACAGAGGAGCCTGGTGGGCTACAGTCCATGGGGTCACAAAGAGCTGGACACAGCTAAGTGACTAACACACATCCTTCATCTATAAGTAGAAATAAAGGAGATGTCTACCTCATAGAATAATTGGAGGAGTATCTGAGCCAATACATGTAAAGCATTTAGTGTGGCTCCTGGTATAAGTATTTAGTAAGTATTAAAATATAGAAAGAAACACTTAATAGAGGTCTCACGTAGATATATATTAGCATCATATTAAAAAATTAAGAAATAAACCAAGGTGTGACAACATGGATGGACCTAGAGTGTTAAGTGAAGTAAGTCAGAGAAAGAAAATTACCGTATGGTCTCACATGTGGAATCTAAAAACAAACAAACAGGCTCAGATACAGAGAACAAAGCGGCGGTTGCCAGAGGGGAGGAGGGTCAAGGGGATGAGTGAAATAGATGAGGGAGATTAAAAAGTATGAACTATGTGTTATAAATAAGTCATGGGGATGTAATGTACAGCATAGGGAGTATGGTCGATAATGTAATCACTGTATGATGACAGATGGTAACTAGACTGGTGGTCATTTCATAATGTATAGAAATACCAAGTCACTATATTGTACACCTGAAACATATAATATTGTGAGTCAATTATACTTTAAAAAAGAAAGACCAAGGTTTATTTTCTTTGCTACCTACATACTGAAAAATATAACCTTAGTAAATACTACTTATTTTAAAACTATGGGAAAAGACTGGGAAGATAAGTTGCTAGTGGTTCTAAGGCATCATGCCAGACATGATTTTAACTAAAATTAAGAACACATGATCTAAGTAAATATTTCCATGAAGAATGCAATAAAGTGATTGCATCTAAATTGTTTAAACCTGTTTAGGGTGGTATCAATAATGATGGTGGTGGTGGTGGTTTAGTTGCTAAGTCGTGTCCGACTCTTTCGACCCCATGGACTGTAGTCTGCCAGGCTCCTCTGTCCATGGGATTTTCCAGGCAAGAATACCGGAGTGGATTGCCATTTAGTTGTTGTTTTCTACTTGCTATAAATAAGGTATAATACCTGCTACATAGAACAGAAGTAGTTAAAGGAGTGATTTTCTTCCCCAGCCCCTTTTAATTCTAGACACTTAACAAGCTGTAATGGCTAAATGCCATAATCAAATGATCTGAAAACAGGTATAATATCCCACAGCCCTGTGGTAGATGGGAATGAATGTGAGCTTTGGAACCACATGCAGTTATGTTTAAATTCTGGCTCTGCCACTGATAGCCTAAGGAAATTTCACAACTTTACTGAGCTTCAGTTTCCTTGTTTAAAAAATAGATATATGATCTACCTTGTGAGAATTGAAGGTAATGTTTGTAAACTGTGTGATACTTACAAGGCATTCACTAAATAGTACTTCTGTTATTACTTTGATCTAAAATGGGTGAGTCTTTTCCTCATTTAAAAAAGTATATAGTCTGGTTTTGGTGCCAAGATTTAGATTCTAGCTTTGCATCAAAATTAAAGCACACTCATTTAAGAAAATAAATTGTGGTAAAGTACATATATAGTTTACTATCTTAACAGTTAAGTCAATATAGTCAGCAGTGCTGTAGTGCTTCCCCGGTGGCTCAGTAGTAAAGGATCTGCCTGCCAACGCAGGTGATACAGGTTCGATCCCTGGGTGGGGAAGATCCCCTGGAGAAGGAAATGGCAACCCCTCCAGTATTCTTGCCTAGGAAATCCCATGGACAGAGGAGCATGTTGGGCGGCCATCCATGGGGTCACACAAGAGTCAGATGCAACTTAGTGACTAAACAAAAAAAAAAACAGTAGTGTTTAGTACATTCACATTATGTGATCTCCAGAACTCTTCACCCCATAAAGCTGACTCTACCCATGAAACCCATTAACAACTCCTATTCCTCCCTCCCCAGCCTCACACAAACACCATTCTACCTCTGAATTTGACTAATCTAGCTAGAAAACTTCACCTAAGTAGAATTATACAGTATTTTTTGTGTGTTTTTTTCACTTAGCATAATGTCCTTAAGGTTCATCCATATTGTGGCATATGTCAAAATTTCTTTCCTTTTTGAGGCTGAATAATTTACCATTTTGTGGATATACCTATACACTTTGTTTATCCATTTATCTGTCAATGAACATGTAGGTTGCTTTCATCTCTTGGCTGTTGTGAATAGTGCTGCTATAGATGTGTGTGTGTGTGTGTGTGTGTATAGTGTTTCTTGGAGACCCTGCTTTCTGTTCTTTTGGGCATTTACCCAGAAGTGACATTGCTAGGTCATATGATAATTCTATTGAAAAATTTTTGAGGAACCACCATACTGTTTTCCATAGCAACTGCATCATATTACATTCCCACCAACAGTGTACAACAGTTCCAATTTCTCCACATCCTTGCCAACACTCTCATTTTCTGCTTTTTTTTCTTTGTTGGTCAGTAGCCATCCTAAATTGGTATGAGGTGGTATCTCACTGCGGTTTTGATTTGCATTCCCCTGATGATTACTGAGCACTTTTTCATGAGCTTATGGGCCACTTAGGAAAATGTCTGTTGAAATCCTTGCCTATTTTTTAATACAGATTTTTGTTGTCATTGAGTTGTTCTTTATATAGTGTAAATATTAAGCCTCTATTTAAAAAAATGATTGCAAATATTTTCTCCCATTCCTAAGGTTGCCTTTTTGCTGTTAATTTCATGAGAATAAATCTTAGTACTATTTGTGACCTTTCTTATGCCTTAAAAGCAAGCGATGGTAATTATTTTGATTATCTGATAGAATAAGATAATCAAACCAAGAATAAGCTCTTGGTCATTTCTTTCGTTTTCTTTTTTTAAATTTACTTTTAATTGGAGGATAATTGCTTTACAATTTTGTGTTGGTTTCTGCCATACCTCAAAATGAATCACCTTTCTATTAGGTTGGTGCAAAAGTAATTGTGGTTTCTTTCACGGTTGAAATTTCCTGTTTGATATTGGAATACATTCTTAAATAAATGTGGTTATGTTACACATTATTTTAATGCACATTTCTCACTTTATTTTTTTATTTTTTTTTTGCTAATGACATTCAGTCAGTCAGTTCAGTTGCTCAATCGTGTCCGACTCTCTGCAACCCCATGAATCGCAGCATGCCAGGCCTCCCTGTCCATCACCAACTCCCGGAGTTTACTCAAACTCGTGTCCATCGAGTCAGTGATGCCATCCAGCCATCTCATCCTCTGTCGTCCCCTTCTCCTCCTGCCCCCAATCCCTCCCAGCATCAGGGTCTTTTCCAATGAGTCAACTCTTCGCATGAGGTGGCCAAAGTATTGGAGTTTCAGCTTCAGCATCAGTCCTTCCAATGAACACCCAGGACTGATCTCTTTTAGGATGGACTGCTTGGATCTCCTCGCAGTCCAAGGGACTCTCAAGAGTCTTCGCCAACACCAGTTCAACAGCATCAATTTTTTGGTGCTCAGCTTTCTTCACAGTCCAATTCTCTCATGACATTACTTGCTGTTTATTTTATAATTATGGAAATGATGTTAGACAAAAGGCAAATTTGAGCAATTTTCTTACCTGAGTTCAAAGTGGGTTTTAACACAGTGGAGATAACTTGCAACATCAACAACACATTTGGCCCAGGCACTGCTAAGAAACATACAGTGCAGTGGTGGTTCAAGAAATTTTGCAAAGGACATGAGAACCTTGAAGATGAGGAGCATAGTGGCTGGCCATTGGAAGTTGACAATCACCAACTGAGAGCCATCATCAAAGCTGATCCTCTTACAACTACACAAGAAGTTGCTGAAGAATTCAACATCAACCATTCTATGGTCATTCAGCATTTGAAGCAAATTGGAAAGGTGAAAAAGCTCAATAAGTGGGTGACTCACGAGCTAACCACAAATTAAAAAAAAAAAAACATCATTTTGAACTGTCATTTTCTCTTATTCTGTGCAACAACAATGAACCATTTCTCAATTGGATTGTGGCATGCCATGAAAAGTGGATTTTATATGACATCCAGTGATACGATCAGCTCAGTGGTTGGACCAAGAAGAAGCTCCGAAGCACTTTCCAAAGCCAAACTTGCACCAAAAAATGCTCATGGTCACTGATTGGTGGTCTGCTGCCAGTCTGATCCACTACAGCTTTTTGAATCCTGGTGAAACCATTATATCTGAGAAGCAGATCGGTGAGATGCACCAAAAACAGCAATGTCTGCAGCCAACACTGGTCAACAGAAAGAACTCAGTTCTTCTCCACAACAATGCCCCACCGCACACCATACAACCAACACTTCAAAAATTGAACAAGACTGAGAACAAGATGGTGGAGGAGTAGGTGGACATGGAGTACATCTCTCTCCATGGATACATCAGGAATACACCTTCATACACAGAAGTGCATGCAGACCACCAGCTGAGAATGGACAGGAGTACCTGACTAGTGGAAAAAAATATATAGAACCACGCAAAACTCGGTAGGACAAAGGAACTAGGGGGAAAAACAGCAGTGTTAGCAGGACTGGACCTGCCCTCAGCAGGTGGGGGAAGTAAAGCAGGGGTCCGATCCCCACACTGAGGCAATTGTCTGAGTCAGAGGAGAAACATTTAAGGCTGAGAGTGAAACAGTTGATCTGTGGCCACCTAAATGGAATGAGA